GGACGATTTAAGATTCAGTCATATGTAATTTGTATCTCACAATCACAACTCCTTGTGATTAACAAATCACCAAGACTTGAATCTACGGATTCTATTATTTAATTTATTAGAATATTAATTCAATTAAATAATAGATATTGCCATACATATACATTGATTATATATATATTCAAAGTGTTTATGTCCAAAGTTGATTGGATTTAGGGCATAACACTTACAACCACCCACTCCGAATCTCCGATGAGGCATTTGTCAACACGCCCATGTAGCGGTGCCGGTGGTGGAAAGTTGGGAGCCAGTGGGTCCCAGGTCCCCACTGAAATCTGGGAAAAATAAATATGTGAATAATGTGAATTTTCTCATAATTAAATTATGCCCCACTGATATTGTGGTAGATGGATCAGATAAAACTGAAACTAACAAGTCGATCAGATAGAAAAAAGGAACTTTCAAGCATGTTTTACATTTGAAACTGAGGACAAAAATTTCCCCACACTTGAGATATAATTTTAGAATACAACTATTATCTGCTTTCAAGATTCCATCAAATAAACAAGGAAAATATCAATTGGACAAAACACAAAGAAAACTTAAGACACTGTGAAACAAAAAATCACTCAAAATATCAGTAGAAATCTATACAATCATTTTTATTGACATGTACAAACAAGATCAAGAAACTGAATGGCGTCTTCTCTTCTGGAAAAGAAACCGATTTTCTGAATTAGCTTTATCCCGCATTTGCTTTAAATCTTTTATCCGGAACAGCGAATTGAGCTTGCCCAGTTTTTTTGTAAATGATTTGAACAACTTGTTGGCAGGGTGTGACTTCACGAGCTCCTGTTTCATGGAGACATGGTCTTTTTCAAGATCCGTTAGCCTCATTCTCATTCGTGCAACTTCAAGCTTCAGTTCTCGGTTTTCTCTTCTTACTGAAGCATAATTATCTCTTGGTGAGATGCATCCGCTTCCTGCACCACTCCCCGAGCGCTGTGGGAATTGTCCATTCAAGCCAAAGAATAATTGATTGTTCCCTCCAACCCCGTTCATTGCATTACGCAATCTGATCTGTTCGAAGTATAGCACTTGGACTGCCATCTGCACCGGCAATCGTTCATTCTGAGCTGCATGGCTGCATGCTTCTTGAGACAGTTTCTGAGAGTCAATTGTTTTGCATAGCCTGTAACGTTCTGAGTCCTTTATGTTGGGATGAACCTGCCAGTGAGTCGCAAATTGTTGATAAACACATTAGCATAGAGATGTAAAATGGTAAATAAAAGTGTAAAACAGGCCAAACCAGGCCTCCTGGGCAAAGGGCCACAGTATTCTTTAGCATGTTGTCTCATCTATAAAAAACGAGGCCATGCACCTCTCACATTGGGCCTTGGCGGGGCAGGACAACAGCCTCTATCAGTTTTCTTTTTCTGTATGTTTGGTAGTTTTTTCTTTTAAAAAAATACCAAGTCTCAGCGACAAACCTGTCGCCTCTTTTGGGCTCATGTTGGACGCTCTTCTTCATTTTGCAGAGAGCCAGCTCTATGCAAAATGCACATAGCCAGAAGTCATAATTTATTTTATTAAGGCTAGACTGGGCAACGTCCCTAGGTAGCCTATCCAATACTTCGAAATGTATAAAGAGATGCAGTGTGCCTAAAGCTTGAACCTGCTTATTGCTATTTATTGTTTGAGATTGAAAGAGTATCTCACCTTGAGAAAGATATCTACAGCTCGATATAGTCCATCATAGACCATACGAGCGTGGTCCGGAAGCAATTCTGCTAGTGCTATGAACTTTGATGGAGTCAAGTTTGAATCCAATGCCACTTCTGCAAGATAATTGTCCAAGAGTTTCGACACCTTAATTATCGAGCTTTGCTTTGGAGATCCAGGGCTGTCAAAGTCATAAACCATCTCACTTTCATTCCTTGGGTGATTATCCTCTTCATCATCCTCATCAAGATTCAAGAAAATCGAGAAAATCCTCAGGACTGAATCAGTGTCATACAAAGGGCTGTGATTGTTTCCATTCATATTTGCAGGAATAAGAATGTCTTCAATAATGGCCTGGTCCAGTTGCAGGCCGATCCGCCTCTCCAAATCAGATCTACAAGATGTCGATGCTGATGCTGCTATTGCAGATTTCAACAAACTTGAAAGAAATGCCATAGGAACTGTGCTTTTTCTTGATTGGGTTGGTAGTAAACTAACTATAGTTTCAACAGTGACACGTTGTTTCTTCTGCAAATCAAGATCTGCAAAACTTCCTTTGACCAATTGAGGATCCCTTCCTACAAGGCCTTTAAGAAAGTTTTGAGCATAATTTATCAGAATTCGGCTGATCATTTCCTGTTTTAGGCCCTTTGATTTGACAGCGGTCAAAACTCGTTTGAAGAAATCGAGATTCAGCAATGCCAGCGACTTTCCCCACCAGTCTGAAGGTGTTTCTTCTTCAAAGCTTTGGGTAGGTTTTGAAGTGAAGTTATGCTCCAGCTTTGATAAACCCGATGTTAGCTGCTCCTTACACGCATTATTTGCGATAGCATTGATTATCCTGTTAACCAGGTTAATGTCTTCGGATATTGGTAAAAGACTTTCACAGTGGTGCAATACAGATACTGAGTTTGATATGCTTGGAAGTACAATATCCTTCAAATGTACTTCAGTTCTACCTTCCAGGTTCTTCTCGGAAAATTCTTCGGTCATTTCCAGAAAATGCGCTGCACAACGCAGCATAGCAACATTTGATATTGTAATCTCGATATTCACTCCATAACAGAATTTTGCAGCCAACTCGAATGCCTGTGATCCACCAGGAACACCAGGAAGATTCAGCCTCGAAATCTTGGAATCTTTTGCTTCCAACATTAACTTTCTTATTCTTCCACTTCGAGAAACTAGGGGGAACTGCAAAAGAAATACAAAAATCATATTATAATCTTAAGATGAGGTTACTTTTCATCATGAAACTTTCCTGGTCGACAAAGTCTGCAAGCCGTTCTAAATTAACTAGTAAAAATGTGCATCGCGAGAACCAATTCTTATCCATTTCTTTACAGGAAGTCAATTTGATATGCATAACCTTGCCGTTTCAATAGTAACCTTTGGTGTCCATGGTTTAACTTTAAGAAATAACAACGTATTTCAGAAAGTGTTAAGATTTTCTCAGCGATTTAGCCCGATATAGAAAGGTTTATCTGGCATTCAATTTGACTGGAACCACCACCTAACATACCTATTTAAAAAGTCAGTTCAACTCCTTGGGTCAGAACAAGTTTTTTATTAGATTATTTTGCCATCTAAAGAATTCAAGGTGCAAGACGACATATAATTTGTAAGTCACATTGTTCTTACTTTGTGAAGTGCAAGACTTGCTGCTCCAACTTCGATGGTTAGATCACTGGAAACATCGGATATAGGCCTGTAAAACAATTGAATATAAGACTGAAAAAATTAAAATTTTCAAAGTGAAGACAAGAAAGATGACATAAATTGCTAATTTGATTCAATAACCAAGAGAAAAAAAAATCATCAGCTTCTTCTTACACATATTTTTCCATCTTGGATTTAGTGTAGTCTAGAATAGATGTTTCACAGTTACACTGATTCTAGCACAGTGAAGCCTCCAAACCTGTGGACTACGTTATTCATCTTGGTCTTACCTATATAACATGGAGGCCCCAGTGGAAAACTGAGGACTTAATGATAGCAGACCGACTGTGACAGCTCAATCCTTTCAGTTTTTGATATATTTCATCAAAGCCACTTGTATGTGCACAAATAATTTATCTTATTAGACATTTTATTCCCTCAACTTCATTGAAAGACCAGTGATGTTCATTGAAAGATTCAGTTTTTACAGATGTATCGCAACTTTTCTACTAGTGGACAAACAAAAGATGGTGGAATTTTGTTGATTAAATACAAGTTAGCTGGAATTTATAACATGGGATCTTATCAATTTACATAAATGGTGTTTCTTTTTATTTAATGAGAGGCCAGAAACCAGAATGTCGGTTGTTACTAAAACAGCTATGGTACGAGGGTTCTGTACATGAACAGTACACAAGAATTAATGACCACTAACTAGAATACTACTAATTGATGTTCACTTGTTCATGACATTATGGCACTTGTTGGGAGAAATACATTAAAAACTCGGCTTCGTGTAGTCATAATCTGATTGCAAATTTTGTTAACTTCTATGTTTGATTTGTCATATTCAATGCTTGTTTAGCCACAAAATTTCGTACTATAGATTGCATTTGTTTTCTTCCATTAAAATTTGAAGGATATGAGATATGAGACTGATAATTTTCGACAGGATCTAGGATGTAATTCACTCCAAATCCTGCTAGAAAATGCTTGATTCAGAAATTTTAATGAAAGCCCATCGAACTTTAGTAAAAGTGGGATTCTTTTTGCTAAGATAAAACTAGCATCTCACCGTTTCTTCTTTACAAACTATATGAATTACCATAATCTGTTCTCCACAGCAAATTCAAGTGATTAGTGGGATAATTAAGCATAAGGCCAGATTTCTATAGTTCAGAATTCAAAACCAGAAAAATGTGAAATCCAACAAAAAACCCCAAAACAGGACTAGATTAATAATGGGTTTTTCATGTCAAATGCAGAATCATCAGAGCCCATTATGTAGTACACAAATCAAGCAATGAGATGAACTCTATCTACAAATGTGGAAGATTGAGGGCATAATTTACCATTCTGTAACATGTTTTGCACTGGAACTGGGACGAAACGCCCTTTTCCCTGAAATGCTTGGTTTCAATTCAGCAACCGTAGCAACACCCATTTCCTCAATAAAGCCCAAAAATTTTCAGCCTGTGAAAATTTCCAAATTCCCAGAAAAAGTTCCCTTTTTCCCACTAAACAGACTGAATCTATCCTTTAAGCCACGAGTAGCACCTGAACTTTTTGTAATGGCATGGCTTTTACATACTCAGTGAGTGAGTGCGTGTGTGTGTGTTTGGGGGGGGGGGGGGGGGGGGGGGGGGGGGGGGGGGGGGGGGGGGGGGGGGGGGGGGGGGGGGGGGGGGGGGGGGGGGGGGGGGGGGGGGGGGGG